CGGGGATAAAAAGGTTCGTTGGCTGAGTGAACCAGCCTCACCCATCCGGTCTCCTGAGTGTAAAGTTTAAAGTAAGTACATTTTATATCTGGCCCTTCTGAGAGAGCAGTCTACGTAACTAGGAATATTACCCAAAAGATCAAAGATGAAAGATTTAATTTACTAATAAGAAATAATCTTTTCTTTTTTTTTTTGAGACTGAGTCTCACTCTGTCACCAGGCTGGAGTGCAGTGGCACAATCTTGGCTCACCGCAACCTCCGCCTCCTGAGTTCAAGCGATTCTCCTGCCTCAGCCTCCCGAGCAGCTGGGACTACAGGCGTATGCCACTACACCCAGCTAATTTTTGTATTTTTATACAGATGGGGTTTCACCAGGTTGGCCAGGATGGTCTCGATCTCTTGACCTCATGATCGGCCCACCTCGGCCTCCCAAAGTGCTGGGATTACAGGCGTGAGCCACTGTGCCTGGCCTGCTCTTAATTTATTTAGGTAGGAAGCACTGTTCAGCCTGTGGAATTGGGTTGAATGTGGCTTTCAGTGGTTTGTACAGGTCACAAGGCTAGTATGCAGGAAATTCTCAAGCCTTACCTGCATCAGAACTTCCAAACGACTTAGAAATACATTTTAGATGACAGTTCTTGATAATGACCTAAAAGATACTACTTTTAGAAAAGGACCCCTGAATCTAATTAGATAGAAGAGCAGGGTTCCCCCCTGTATGAGGACCTGGGGTGAGAAGAAAGCATAGAATAAGAGGTCCTGTGTTTAAACCCCCAGGGAAGGCAGGAGCAGGCTGAGCAGCCCTCCTGGGCACTGCGGGGAAAGAACTTTCCAGAGCTAGAGCCACACACCCACCGACCCTCGCAGCCCACACAAATTCCATATTTCAGAACAAGCTCGAATATATCTTACCAAAAGAAAAAAGTGTATCTCTGAACTCTTTTACTAGACAATGAACTATATTTTTTACCCTGAGGGTGGGGCTGGGGGAGCCTGTCTTCCTTAAAAAAAGAAAAGAAAGGCAAAAAAGAAAAATAAACAAAAGCAAGATAAATCTTTTCAAACCTATAAGGAAAAAAAATTGTCTGATAAATAGCACAACTAGTCATTAGAGGAAAAGAGTGAACCAGCACGGGGTGTGTGTGTGATGGGTGAAGATAGGCCCCACTTTGTGGGGTTAAGAGCTGGGTTCTGGCCCTGGCTTCTCCAGGACTGGTGGTCTCCAGCATGTCAACATTTCCTGGGACCTGCCTCCCATCCTCCGTCCTTAAACAAAGATAGCAATGACCTCACAATGCTGCTCTTTGGCTTACGCAAGCCCGAGGTGTGTGGGCAGCGTGCAGTGCTCAGGAAGCAACGCAGTCATTGTCAAGGTCACCTACCCAGGTTTGCTGCAAGGCAACCTACCCCGGCCCCTTGAGGCGCCACCTGACCCAAAGCCTTTTCCTTGCTGTCCTCCAGCCCCCTTGCCCCTGCCCCACTGTTCTGGGAGCCATCATCTCCCTACTCTGTCACTCTCCTCACAGTGCTTATCCTCTGCTTAATGCATCAGGAAAAAGGCAGACAAAACCTGCACATCTCTAATGGTCTGTCGAGGTCACTCCCAAAGCCACCCAGAGTCCTCAGGGGCTCACCTGCCTCTTGCAATTCCTGATTGACTAAGCTGAGGGCGCTGTCACCTTTTACAAGGCGCAATCACGCCAGGATGCAGAGAACAGCCTTCTAGAGCCAGCTGAGGGGCGGGGTCCAGGCCCAGCCTGTCTTTCTGGCTGAAGGAACCGCGTCGACTTAATTTTTTTCTTTTTCTTTTTGAGATGGAGTCTTGCTCTGTCACCCAGGAATTACAGGTGTGCACCACCACGCCTGGCTAATTTTTGTATTTTTAGTAGAGACGAGGTCACTACAACCTCCGTCTCCTGGATTTAAGCAAGCCTCCCTGCCTCAGCCTCCTGAGTAGCTAGGATTACAGGCGCCTACCATCACGCCCAGGTAATTTTTGCATTTTTTAGTAGAAACGGGTTTTCGGTGTGTTGGCCAGGACTGGTCTTAATCTCCTGACCTCAGGTGATCTGCCCACCTCAGCCTCCCAAGTGCTGGGACTACAGGCGTGAGCCACCGCACCTGACCAAGTCACCTAATTTCTCTGAGCTCATTTCTACGCAGTCACACATGGCACGATCACATTCTGGTTAACAGTAGACCCCAAGTCCCTGTGGCACCACGGTCCTGTAAGGTGATAATACTGTGTGTTCGCTGTAACCTTTTCTGTGACATGTTTCGGTATGTTTAGACACACAAACACTTACCGTTGTGTCCCAGCGGCCTACAGTATTCAGTACAGTAACACGAAGTTCAGGTGTGTGACCTGGGAGCAACGGGCTGCACCATCTGGGTTTGCGTGACTCTATCATGTTCACACAATGATGAAATTGCCTAAGGATGCATTTCTCAGAACCCGTCCCTGTCATTAAGCAACGTGACTATAATATCCATGCACACACCACCCAGGTTTATCACACTGCTGAAGTCTTTTAAAAATACACAGCCGAGGTCAGGCGTAGTAGCTCATGCTTGTAATCCTAGCACTTTGGGAAGCTGAGGTGGGCAAATCACAAGGTCGGGATTTCAAGACCAGCCTCGCCAACACAGTGAAACCCCATCTTTCCTAAGAATACACAAATTAGTTGGGCATGATGGTGGGACCTGTAATCCCAGCTACTTGGGAGGCTGGGGCAGGAGAATCGCTTGAACCCGGGAGGTGGATTTCAAAAATAAATAAATAAATAAAATCTAGAAAGAATTAGAATCCCCATGAGACCCCCTCCCCAATTCTCCCTCCGTCTCAACACGTGACTGAACCCTTAAAGGTGGGATGCACCCTGCAATATGTGTATGTCTGTTTCTATCAGTGATGTACTAGATTGTTTAGTGTTAAAGATTTTACATTGGATGGGTGTGGTGGCTCATGCCTGTAATCCCTGAACTTTGGGAGGCTGAGGCAGGAGGATGACCTGAGGTCAGGAGTTGGAGACCAGCCTGGCCAACACGGTGAAACCCCATCTCTGCTAAAAACACAAAAATTAGCTGGGCCTGGTGGCAGGCTCCTGTAATCTCAGCTACTCAGAAGGCTGAGGCAGGAGAATCGCTTGAACCTGGGAGGGGGAGGTTGCAGTGAGCTGAGATCACACCACTGCACTCCAACCTCAGCAACAAGAGTGAAACTCTGTCTCAAAAAATAAAAAAAATACAAATAAAAGATTTTATAGTAATTGGATGATAAGAAAGATATCCTTAGGCGTGTTTATTTTCATTAGCTGTTGCTTTAAATTTTTTTTTTTTTTTAAGACAGGTTCTCATTGTCACCAGGCTGCAGTGCAGTGGCAGTCATAGGTCACACAGCCTCGAACGCCTTCCTGGGCTTATGTGACCCTCCTGCCTCAGCATCCGGAGCAGCTAGGACCACAAGCATGTGCCACCATGCACGGCTAATTTTTTAAAATTTTAAATTTGTTTGTAGAGACGGGGATTCAGTATATTGCCCAGTCTGGTCTCAAACTCCTGACTTAAAGCAATCCTCCTAACTTGGCCTCCCAAAGCACTAGGATTGCAGGCTGGACCCACTCAGCCTGGCCCAGCATTGCTTTTTTTTTTTTTTTGAGACAGAATCTTGCTCTGTCTCTCAGGCTGGAGTGCAATAGCACAATCTCAGCTCACTGAAACCTTCGCCTCCTGGGTTCAAGCAATTCTCCTGCCTCAGCCTCCCCAGTAGCTGGGATTACAGGCATGCACCACTACACCCAGATAATTTTGTATTTTTAGTAGAGACAGGGTTTCACCATGTTGGTCAGGCTGGTCTTGAACTCCTGACCTCAGGTGATCTACCAGCCTTAAGTAGATCATCTGAGGTCAGGAGATTGAGACCCAAGCCCCAAAGTGCTGGGATTACAGGCGTGAACCCCCAGGCCCGGCCTCCAGCATTGCTTTTTTAGATGGACTTGTGTCGATACACACAGAGCTAGTGTGTTCTATTATTTATTTATTTATTATATATTAATATATAATTCACCTTTCCCTCCCAGGTTCAAGCGATTCTCCTGCCTCAGCCTTCTGAGTAGCTGGGATTACAGGAGCCTGCCACCAGGCCCAGCTAATTTTTGTATTTTTAGCAGAGATGGGGTTTCACCGCGTTGGCCAGGCTGGTCTCCAACTCCTGACCTCAGGTCATCCTCCTGCCTCAGCCTCCCAAAGTTCAAAATATATTATATATATTTTGAGTCTTGCTCTGTCACCCAGGCTGGAATGCAGTGGTACACTCTCAGATCTGGGCTCACTTCAGTCTCCACCTCCAGGGTTCAAGTAATTCTCCTGCCTCAGCCTTCAGGGTTGCTGGGATTACGGCACCTGCCACCACGCCTGCCTAATTTTTGTATTTTTAGTAGAGATGGGGTTCACCATGTTAGCCAGGCTGGTCTCCAACTCCTGACCTCAAGTGATCCACCCACCTTGGCCTCCCAAAGTGCTGGGCTTACAGGCGTGAGCCACAGCGCCCGGCTTAGTCTGTTTTTTTAAATTGCTATGAAGTATGCCACTGTATAAACACATCCCAATTTATCTGTTGCCCTTTGATGCATTCCCAGCTCGTTTCCCATCCTTCCCTCTTATAAACAGCACCTCCATGCAGACTCTTGCACACATCCCCTCTTTAAAATGTCTAGCTGTCCGCTGCGGGCTTGCTAGGGTTAGGGTCTGTGCACTTTAGCCACTCCCCCTGACCGAATCTCAAGCATGGTTTGACATGTGCGTGGCTTTCACAAGAGCGTGCACCATGAGCCGTGACACGTGCTTCGGAAGCTTCTGGGGCCCAGCGGCCCTGGAGGTGACGCTTTACCACGTCCGAAGATTTCTTTGCAAAAAGGTGTGACTTCTTTTCCAGCTAAAGAGAACAGTTTTCTCTGCAGATGAAACATTTCTAAATGGAACTTTCTAGGAAACAACTTACCCGTGATGACCGAGCCATCTGAGCCGGGACCGCTTCCTAAGTACTGGTATTCCGTAAAACTGAAGCTTCCAGAACTATCCTCACCGATGGATTGCGAAATCTCTTGGATGTTTCCCATTTCTTGCAGGAATTCTTCAGATAATGGGCTCTCTAGATCGGCAGCCTCGAGTGGGGAGAGGGGGCAGAGCGGGCTTTCCGTGTCCACCATCGTGACCAGATGGTGCTGGTTGCTCAGCTGAGCTCCAAGCTACCTGCAGGAGAGAGGCACAATCGGTAAGACGGATGATGTATTATAAGAATGTTCGCTTGTTTTTATTTCTTTAATTTTTTAAAATTTTAAACAAAAATTTTTTAATTTTTCAGATGGAGTCTTGCCCTTGTCGCCCAGGCTGGTGGAGTACAGTGGAGTGATCTCAGCTCACTGCAACCTTCACCTCCCTGGTTCAAGTGATTCTCCTGCCTTAGCCTCCCGAGTAGCTGGGGTCACAGAAGCCTGCCACCATGCCCGGTTAATTTTTGTCTTTTTAGAAGAGATGCTTTTTTTTTTTTTTTTTTTTTTTAGACGAAGTTTCGCTCTTGTTACCCAGGCTGGAGTGCAATGGCGCGATCTCGGCTCACCGCAACCTCCGCCTCCTGGGTTCAGGCAATTCTCCCGCCTCAGCCTCCTGAGTAGCTGGGACTACAGGCACACGCCACCATGCCCAGCTAATTTTTTTTGTATTTTTAGTAGAGACGGGGTTTCACCATGTTGACCAGGATGGTCTCGATCTCTTGACCTCGTGATCCACCCGCCTTGGCCTCCCAGAGATGGGGTTTTACCACGTTGGCCAGGTTGGTATCAGCCCGCTTTGGTGCTTTGATTACAGGCGTGAGCCACTGTGCCTGGCCACTTGTTTGTTTTTAAATGCAATGTCATTTATCATTGAAGATACGCCTGAATTCATCATCTAAACAGGACCACTGCTGAGCCTCTCCTCTAGGCTTAGCTCTTGATCGGCATGCCGAGAAAGTGAAAAACCTTTAAACAAATGTTGAAGGAGCCACAGCCCACGAGGCCAGGATCTCTCACTCATCACTGAGCACCCTGGGCCAGGCAGGGTGGCGCACGCCTATAATCCCAGGACTTTGGGAAGCCAAGGCAGACAGATCACTTGAGGTCAGGAGTTTGAGACCAGTCTGGCCAACAAGGTGAAACCCCATCTGTAGTAAAGATATATAAATTAACTAGGCACATGCCTGTAATCCCAGCTATTCAGGAGGCTGAGGCAGGAGAATCTCTTGAACCTGGGAGTCGAATGTTCCAGTGAGCTGAGATAGTACCACCGCACTCCAGCCTGGGCGACAGAGTGAGTCTATGTCTCAACAAACAAACAAATGAAACAGATTCCTGCTCTCGGGGAGCCTCCCTTCTAACTGGGACACAGACCATGAACAAAGACACAAATGCACATAACCTAGTAGGTGTAGACACAGAATAGATGTTACTTTATGTGGAGAGGCCAGGGAAGGCCTCACTGATGAAGGGGCAGGAGAGACCTCACGAAATGAGGGGGCAAGCTGTATCGATGTCCTGGGGGAGAGCGTTCCGGCAAACAGAACACCATGTGCAAAGGCCACAGGACTGAAACACGTTGGCACATTCCAGGAACAACAGGCAGCCAGTGCGGCTCAGGCTGCAGGGCGCGGGGAGCGCAGCCAAGCCGGCGGCGTGTGTGCTGGGTGTGACATTCATTCCGGTGTGTTCTCCCTGTAGCCATGAAGGCAGCTCACGCAGGGGGTCCTGGACTGTGACTGTAGGGCCATGAATACTTCGTAGAGTCCAAACAAATCTAAGTGGGTGAGTCCCAGACAATCAATGGGCTATGCCAACTAGCAGGTGAACATTTCCCTAAGGGTACAGTGACAAAGCAGCCACCTTCCGGGGTGAGTCCGTATCACGCTCTCACTGAAACATCTTATACCACTTCGTGGGACCTCCAGACTGAAGCCCCGTTTCCTGAGCACACTGTTTCAGCCCCTCCACATGTGTCCCTCCTGATCGTGCACTTGCCACTGTCTTTCTACCCTCCAGAAGCCCAGCAGCGCTGAGAATTGCTTTCAGGATTTCACGTCCGCACCTTTGCCCAGGTGCACCTGCCTGAACCCGCCCTTGCCCACTGCTGCCTTCTGGAGGCTCTGCCTCAGGTCCACCTCCCTGAACCCGGCCGAGTCATCAATTGCCCAATGAGGCTGAGTAGGTGACCTTGAGCTTCCAGAACTGTCTTCCCTTCTGAAAATGGTCACATTGATGCCCACGGCTCGCACCATGGAGAGGCTCAGGTGGGTAGATGCTGCCACCAGTCACTGTCAGGGTAGCCCTCATCACACGGTGATCACGGAACCCCCGACTCTCCAGCTGGAGTGAAGAGTACTTTCCCAAAGGAAATATTTATCCCTTAAACGCATGTGCATAAAAATATGTTCACATTTGACGTTTGCTTAATGTAAACAACAGCTTTCAGTGTGGTGAGGGAGCTTCCTCTACCAATACCCAAAATGGATACCATTCATCCATCTTTGTGAAATCATATCTTATATTTGGAATTCTGGCAGTAAGTCCTCAGAGTTCACAGGGAAACATCAAATCGCACACAGGGGAAAATGAAAGAGAAAGATTGCCCTTTCGTAGGGGTTAGAAGGCTTTCCTTCCATCTGTAACCTAGTAGCATAAATCAGGCTGTGAATCTGTGTAGACTTTCTATCATATTTTATTCTGCATTCTATCTGAAAGGAGGTTTTTTCCTAACAGCAAGAAAGATAATGGGGTAAGCATTATTTAAAATATTTTTCACTTTGAACAAAAAGTTCCAAAGTTACAGTCACTAACTGACTCTATTAACCATGCAGTATATCCCAGTGGAGAGCAAGTGGCTGGGGCTGGGCGTGGCGGCTCACACCTGTAATCCCAGCACTTTGGGAGGCTGAGGAGGGTGGATCACTTGAGGTCAGGAGTTTGAAACCAACCTGGCCAACACGTTGAAACCCTGTCTGACTAAAAATACAAAAAAAATTAGCTGGGTGTGGTGACGGGCACCTGTAATCCCAGGTACTCGGGAGGCTGAGGCAGGAGAATCGCTTGAACCTGGGAGGTGGAGGTTGCAGTGAGCTGAAATTGTGCCACTGCACTCCAGCCTGGGTGATAAAGTGAGTGAGACTCTGTCTCAAAAACAAAAAACAAAAAAAAAGAAAGCAAGTCGCTGGGCAGGGACTGTGTGATGGATGGGCTGTGGCTACCTCACTCTTCTCCCGATTGCGTTCTCAGGAATGGAAAATGCGTGTAGACCATGCCTTTTATCCCTGCTCACACTCTCCTAGCCAGTAGCATCTGACTAATATAACAATGTCAGTTTCCTTGTCGTTACATTCAGGGAGTTTCAAAGTTTTATAATTTTATCATTTTTTAGTTGCTTTTAAACAATACCTGGGATTAATTGAGAGAAACATTGGTCTTGCCATAAAAAAATCAAAACAAAATCTCTATCTAGAGTGAGGCAATACTGTCTTAAACTCTGGCCAGAGGGACCATCTCTGTACAGATCACTGAACAAATTGGTCCTTCCTTGCTCCCAACAAGAGCAGATAAGGAACAGTTGCCTTTGGATGTATCTCCCAGATAGAGAGCAGAGGCCAAGCAGGCACCCGCCCCACCCTGCACAACCTCCCAGCATGCTCTGGCGCTGGGGTTCCTCCCACATCACTGGAGCTTTTGCTCAGGAGCAGAATTATCCTGGGGAAGTCCCCACCCTTGCCTATCACCCACATGACATACCACTGCCAAGCTCATCGACAAGAGTGAACCAGGCGGACCAGTTCCCGTGTCCTATGCCCCAAATGCTCTCGGGGGATTAAGACATACAATCAACCATCTCTTTTCTCAGCAACTCCAAAATCTGGTCCAGAGGCAAGACTACGCAAACATCACTGAAGCAGGTCTTCAGTTTCGTAGCACAGAGTCTCACATAAGCTGAGAGGTGTGGGAGAGTGTATGGGGTGTTGGCAAAAGGCGGGGCTTCCGTTCTAGTCCCAGCAATGATGGGAGCTTCTGCATAATCCTCATTCCTTCCTTACCTGAGACCTTTTACATTTCTAAATTCATAATTTTCTTTCCCTTATAATTTTTTTTTATTTTTAAAGTCATCAAAAAAAATGGTTGTGGTACATACTAGGTGTATTTATGGGGCATATGAGATGTTTTGATACAGGCATGCTGGGTGAACTAAGCACGTCATGGGGGATGGGGAAGCCATGCCCTCAGGATTGATCCTTTCAGTTACAAACAACCCAATTACACTCTTTAAGTTATTTAAAAATATACTATTAAGTTATTGCTATTATTGTCATTTTGAGTGGAGTTTTGCTCTTGCTGCCCAGGCTGGAGTGCAATGTGGTCGGCTCATCACAACCTCCACCTCCCAGGTGCAAGCCATTCTCCTGCCTCAGCTTCCCGAGTAGCTGGGATTACAGGCATGTGCTACCATTCTCTGCTAATTTTGTATTTTTAGTACAGACGGGATTTCTCCATGTTGGTCAGGCTGGTCTCGAACTCCCCACCTCAGGTGATCCACCCGCCTCAGCCTCCCAAAGTGCTGGGATGACAGGTGTGAGTCACTGCACCCGGCACAATTAAGTTATTACTGACTGTGGTCACCCTGTCACACTATCAAATAGTTGCCGAGTTCGGGAGAATCGCTTGAACCCAGGAGGTGGAGGTTGCAGTGAGCTGAGATCATGCCACTGCACTCCAGTCTGAGCAACAGAGTGAGACTCTGTCTCAAAAAAAAAAAAAAAACAAAAAAAAACCTAGTAGGTTATTCTTTCTATACCCCTGCCAAGCTCATTGACAAGAGTGAACCAGGCGGACCAGTTCCCGTGTCCTATTTTTGGTACCTATTAACCATCTTCACTGCCCGCAGCCCCTCACCGCCCTTCCCAGCCTCTGGTAACAATCCTTCTACCCTCTCTGTGTTCAACTGATTTGATTTTTAGATCCCACCAAATAAGTAATAACATGTGAGGTTTGTCTTTCTCTGCCTGACTCATTTCACTTAACATAATGACCTCCAGATCCACCCGCGTTGTTGCAAATGACAGGAGCTCATTCTTTTTCATGGCTGAATAGTACTCCATGGGGTGTATATATCACATTTTCTTTATCTGTTTGCCTGGTGATGGACACCTAGGTTGCTTCCAAATCTTAGCTATTGTAAACAGT